GAAACTCTGCCAAAACTATAATAAATCTATAGTAAAATTTTAACAAAACTAATCGTAAGATTTTGAAGAGGTTTAGACAAGCAACCTTATGCTCCCTCCATGTAACTCTAGTGAACCGGCTATGCTGATATCTCCTAAAAAAAAAAAAAAAAAAAAAAAAAAATAATAATAATAATAATAATAATAATAATAAAATAATAATTCTCATAATTCTCATGCAAATTATACTTAAAATGTCAATATAAATATTTATTAAACCTTCCCGACTAGTCATAATGATAAACCGGTTTTTATTTTTTTTGTAATTTTAATTTTATATTTGTATCACTATCCTTTTTTGGAAGAGAGATGACTTTTTCAAAAGTTCAAAAGAGCGGCTGCATTTACACCAAGTGGTTGGTGCCGTGCGGTGTTTATGGCTTAGCCGCACCGTAAATATTACTGCGGAAATCAGGCATTACTTGAAAAATAATAAAATGGTAAGTAGACCGAAACTTTAAAACAATAGGAAAAATAGAAAAATGTTGTCTAATTTGTAACCCATTTTCGATTGAAATCTGATCCGTTATTTTTTAATGTTTACATCTTTTTTTGTGGAGGAAGGCTTTTTATGTTTTCTTTGTATTGTTTTAAATAAAGTCTTTTTATTTTCATAAGGGAAAATAAGAAAAGAGTAAATTGTTTACTATTTTGATTATTTGATTATATGATTGTTATTTTTGATTTTAACGGATTTTACGGTTAAAAGAAAAAAAGAAATCCATCATTTTAGTCATATTAATTAGTAGCCCCAAATAAAAAAATTCCTTGGTTTAAAAAAAAAAATAAACTTGATATCATAAATATTATAAATAAATTTCAATAGGCGTTGTTATTATTTTAGTTATATGATTGGTTATACGTCATAAACATGTACTTCTTGGCTAATTAAAAACTTCTTTCATTAGTCCATTCATTTGAATGGACCTTTCCGATTTATATCATTTATTATTTTTTATTGAACGGTTAATTTAGGATACCGACCGTCATCTGCCCGCCATTTTTTTTCTTAGGATAACCCTAATTAGGTTCAATGTATCACGAGGTGATTATTTTCGGTTTAAAAAAAGCTAAAAAAGCTTTTTTTTTTTTTTTTGTAATTATGTAAATTATGTAGTTACTAATGTTACTATATGTTTATTATGTTACTATAATGTTTATTATGTTACTATAATGTTTATATGTTACTATATGTTACTTATGTTACTACGCCAATTAAATGTTGCGTCACATTTACATTTTTATACATCTTCACGTGAAATATAAAAAAAATTACTTTTTTTTTTTT